TTTATGCGTTTTTTGCAGCTATGCAATGCAGAAAACGCATATTGACGAGGGGTTTTCTGTGTGTGTCTGTGTGTGTATGTCTGTGTGTGTCTGTGTTGTGTGTTCGTCTGTACCGATTTTTCATCTCCCGAAAAGCTACGGGGCTGAAATTTTGGGAACTTAATCTAAATGCATATACTGGCTCCCATCTCCAAAATGGGCGCTCTTTCCCGCGTGATACCCACGTATGAGCCCCCCAATGTTTTTTTACAGGCAAGCTGCTAACCCGGAAACTAGAAATGCTGGGAGGCTGAAATTTTCGGAGGACGTTCCCGTCCAAGTGTGTATTAATGAGCGCAAACCCAGCCTCCGGGTAAGCGTGGTATCCACGTACGGGCCCACCAAAGTTTTTTTTGGGTAAGTCGCTAACTCGGGAATCTGACAAGCTAGAAGACTGGAATTTTGAAGGGATGTTTCTTAACAGTCAGACTGGCTGTCACAGCCAGTCTGAAACTCTTTTAGCTAGAGGCTTCTGCCGGAAAAAAAAAACAGTGCCGTTAACGACAAAAATTTGTGAGGAGCTATGCAAAAAACGCTTCTTCGCACGGGCAGCCCTGCGTTGGCCAATTATTTTTGCTGTTTCCTTAGCGCAGTCGTTTAAGAGTGGGTAACGTCATTTAGTCACTTCAATGATTTCGGCTGCAGAAATGAGCATTTACAGCGGTCTGGGTTTGGGACCGAGCGTTCTCATTTGTAATGACATTAATAACGAAAATCTCGCAAACAGTAGCTGTTTTAAAAAAAAAAAAACCAAATTTGTTCATTTGTTGCTCGCACACGTGGACGCAATATACGTCCCGTATTCGGGTTGCTACTGAAGTGTCGCAGTACAGAAAGTTGGTAGGACTGGGTGAAACGCAAATGCACTGGACCCGTCGGCAGTAGTGGCTGAAAAAGAGATTGAATCGTGGGCTGATATCGCGGATAAAGTAGTACTTTTCATTTTAGCTTGGATTAAGTAAATGCTGTGTATTCAGAGACGTGTTTTTGTAATGAATTTCAATGACAACTGGCAAATGAACGGTATCATCTGTAGTTGGGATGTCGGTCCGATTGGGAAATCTCCATATCACACTATCTGAGGATTGACGTGGAGCACAATAAATAGAAAACTGCTCCCCGATGATAGCATTCAGTGAATCTCCAAATGGTAGTACAGGCTCTGGACGACATTCTTCCAGCGGCCATGTCGTATAAGTTGACAGCCTGCAATCAGCATATAATGCAACTCAGAAGCGTAACGAGAGTGCGAAAAAGCGGACTGCAATAATTTCCGCTACAGAATGCATCTTTGTCTGGGGTGCCTACTGTTTTCAACACCAACAATCACCATTTCTTACTCCTTTATTTATAACCACGACTGATAACTTTTCCTATTTCTAGTGTTTTCTTGGAAAAATTGTGTTGTTCGCGCTTTTTTATTAATAACCTGGCGCTTGTTTTATTACCAAAAATTTCTATCCTTAAAAAAAGGCCACTGAATAACAGGCACTTACCTAAAGAGGTGCTTAAATGATATCCCTACTCCGGGATTCCTACTGGTTTTCATTCGAGAAAAACCCTGGCATTTTCTTTATATGATTTCTATTTTAAAATTTTATTTTATTTTTTCAAACAATTCATTGCTTTTTTTCTGCCCGCTGACAAATGGGAGAATGAAGTTTTAATTTTAGCAACCTCTTCGAAGCACCGTCTAATGTTGAGCAAGTTGCTTGTTCTAGGCCACGTACGCGAGTAATATGACTCTTGATAGACTTGGCAATACAGCTGCACTGAAGCGGATTATGGTCAAAGGAGCCGCGTGAAACTCGCGCAAGCAACCCATCTGGTAATACTTCGAGCGCACAGTTCGACAAATGTAGGCTAAAAGCAACATTCGTTGTGCAGCTTATGGTTTTTTAGTCTCGAACAAGGCACTTTCAGAAATATATTTCAAAAGCATTCTCATCAGCTATTTTGAAAACGCATGATGATAATTTTCAGGATAAAGAAAACAAAAAATTTATTAACTACCCGTCCGCTTTTTCAAAGTGAACCGTTCTTACATCTTTTGTTTACAAAATTATTAAAAGCGGTCTTTTGGAAATAGAAAAAATTTCGACTGCACGCATTTGTCCTAATTCTTTCAGTAATAGTTATCGTTTTCTCAGACAAATCCGTAGTGCGTACTTGTACAGCATCGTATTGTTGACGAAAGCACGGGGTGAGACGTAAATAAGAGACAGCGAGTCATTCAGATTGACGCTCCGCAAATTTGGTATCTTCGAAAAAGCAAACTGTTCCACAATGCGCAGCAAAGAACTCTGTGACAAATCAAGCTCCTGAAAACAGCGGACACGAATAACTGGCACAGATGCAGCTAAATAAATGCAGCATATGCGCACGCACAGGCAGACACGTAGCATCAAGAACTGTAATTATTTTTTCCAGTATTGTCGGTTTGTAATAGGGTGTTGTGCAGCGGAATAGTTGCAAGAACAGAAACTAGAAGGCGAGGCGCAAAATGTTTGCATTCAAGGTAAGAATGATGGCATCCCAAGGATCGATGACAGCTTTGCTTTCGTGAATTAAGAAACGCAGCAGACCTGCAAAGTAGGATGCACGAGCTCAAAATTCGTTATCCGTTTGAAGTGATTAGCACCAATGTTAAGTACTCGCAAGCCAACCAGTTGCCTGACATCAGTGCCCGGAACTGTTTCTAGCTCATTGTGTGACAAATCCAACACTTCCAGCTGCAAACTCAAATAGCAACAATTATGCAAAAAGCATGATCTCGAAATTTTTTGGATGAAATAGGACATGAACCGACATATCATCTCCAGCTCTTCTTCTTCGATACAAACAAGAACAAGGCAATCTTTAAACCAAGCAGCCAGTCAGAAGTACTTAGGGGTTTGCTAAAGCTGAAGAACCAAAGCTCCTTCGAAGGTATTTTCATAAAAATATGACAGTTCGGTTGAGATTTGTTACAAAAGGCACTTGCTTACTTTTCTGGAATACGATGACACGTGAAAAATACTTTTTATGCACATAAGGCACATTATTGTAAAGTCATGTCTGCGTCAATGTTCTTCTGCCTCTCCCGATAATTAACTTAAAGGCTACGCAAGCCCAGAAGCTGAAATTCGGGAACCGCAGACTACTGTTGTAAGAGAGTGAAATATTCATTAAGTATATTCATTATCTACTGTCATTTTTCCTGCGGAGGCAGTTATGTTCTTCTCAGAAATCTCGTAAGTTTTAAAAAACCTGAGAGAGAAATTGTGTTCCAGCACAGGAACAGAAAACCAAATGGATGAAAAACCCTAACGTTTTCCTTTCGAAATAAGAATCGATAACGGAAGAACACCTACTATACAGAATAATGTGAATAAAAGTTTTCCAAAATGAGAGGGATGGAGATAGGGCTAATTTAAACCAAGAATGAGTAAAGACTCGTAATAGAACACCTGGTCAAAGTATAGAAGTAAATGTGATAGAAGTGTAGTCGTAACTGCTCTGAAAAATAGACACTAAGCCATCCCTGCTCCATTCTCTTTTTCCCATCACGTTGACTCAGTATTTCTCCCTTTGGTCAGACGGATATTTCCGAAAAAAAAAGCACTGAAAGGAAACCTGATAGAGAGGAGAAAACGAGTCGTAGTGGAATGCCCTGATTTCATTGTACGACAAATTAATTTTTTTCAACCTGAAAACAGTGTACTGGTATTTACACTTAGCCATATGCAGCGCTTTTTGCATTAGGAATTGTTCTCCAAAACTTATTTCATGGGTTAGTCAAAGTCAAATCCCTCCTTTATCCGCCCTCTGGAAGAGGTAAAAGCACTCGGAATTTTCCTGAAGATAACGGGTGCCAACAGCAACCAGTGGCTAAAAGCAAACAGATCATAATTATAGTCGATTCCCGTCGATAAAAGAAAAGAATTTTTATGCATTTTTGCACCTATGCAATGCAGAAACGCGTATCGTCGAAGGATTCGGTTTTCTTTGTGCGTGTATCCATGTGCCTGTGAGTCTTTGTCCGTGCACGCGTCTGTGCCGAGTTTTCACCTCGAGAACTACAAAAGCTACATGGCTGAAATTTTGGCAACTTTACACCTATGTATGAGCACCTATCCTCGAAATGATCGCACCCCTCCACGCGGTTCTCATGTACGGGCGAGTAAAAGATTTTTTTTCCCTTCGTGTATATTATCAGGTTTTTTTCTTTCGTTTTTCCGTATTTCCAAAAACAGCGTAAAATACCATGTCATTTCAACGAATTTTTTTTCATGCAGCATATCGTGACCGCCCCCCGTGACTTGCTTGTGTGTATTTGATTTGTTGCAGTACTCCGAAATATAAGTGATTGAAAAAGACTTACTTTTGTGCGGCGAAAAAGTTGCTGCTTTGTACAAAACGTAAACGGTTGAAGCTCAAATCGAGGTACTGGAGGTTTGGAGTGAAACGCAACATGTGCTCATTAATGTTCTGCAAATATGTGCAACTGGAAAAATTACGAACGAAGATGACAGTCATTGGGCTAATTACTAAAAGTTCCAAAGAAGGATCAGTATACAGTGAGGTTATTGTTGGAGATGATGAGCTGCTGAAGAGAAAACAGTCGGAATGCTTCCCAGTCGATCTGTTCGATGTAGTTGTGACTTAAATCAAGTAGCTCCACTGCCGGGAACATTATGAATGCATCACGCTCTAGAACCTGCAATATGCTCCGCAGTTCAGCTAGACTTTAAAAAAAACCGCTAAATTCAAAAAATCTCAACTACTTGAATGTACAAGTACAACGTTTACTTAGTGCTCGAGTATTCAGTTATTGTTACCCAGCTCTTCAAACGCAGAAGATATCTGCTGGACAGGCCGACCTAACCGGTTTCCTAATGACCGTTCGACGCTGTATTATGGCCAATGATAGGCGGATTTTGAAGGGACGAGGTGTGTGATGACGAATAATAGCAGAAGTAAGCAGTCCTGGGATGAGGGCCTGGCATAGCTGCACTGGGCGCGTAGCTCTCTCCCTCTTTCCCTCTGTCACATCGGCAGCTGCTTACCAGTAGAGTTTCTGAAGGTAACAGAATGATTAAATTTTCATGTCAGTGCTTGTAAACTTACACTGAAATAATTGTGTCTGAGAATCAGGTGCCTGACAGCGGGGAATTTACTATTTCGTGGTGTGTTGAACAGCGAAATGCAGTTGTTCGATAAGTTTAGGAAACTGAAAATAGTACACTGACAACGCAGGGCAACATCAGCGCAGTTGGGGAAAATGAGAAGCATACAAATATCCTTATTCGGAGAGCAATGACTGTACCTTCACCAATTTTCAATTTTTTCCAACGAAATTCCAGCCCAGGCACCTCATCGTGGTGTGTGAGTGGCAACGGATTAGGCAGTGTCGAGGCAAAGCCCTGGCAGCTCCAGGTAGGCCGAGAAGGTACTACGACCCATCTGTTCGGCCAAGCCTGGGTGGTACCCACATTCAATTAAGCAAATGTAGAAGACAAGAAGCTGGAATTTGGTAAGGATTTTCCTGGTACGCAGTCATCTACCGAAGTGAGTGGGGATTCTGGATTCTCAGTTGTTTTGGGCTGTACTCCTTTGCGCACCCGGTACCCTTCATTGCCATAATGCGTAGTATGCTGCGTATTCGCTGAGCAACAGCTGGGCTAGACTGTCCTCTCCTATTACACTACTAACGTAATACGACACGTCTGCCTATCATCGGTTTTGAAGCCTGGACCGTAAACAGTTGTACAGCGTGTTATAGACTGCGTCCCTGCCATCCAAAAAGCTTAAAATCAACGTTCACCTGCGCTAGGGTAATAATTACGGATGATTAAAAGAATTCATATAAATTTTCTGGGAGAAAAGCGATTGCGAGAAACTGAGAAGATAGGAAGCTGTAATTTCAGGAGTGTTCTATGTCCTTGCGGGAGCTAAAGACTTCAGCAATAAACTATAATATGCGCCTCTTCTCAAATTCAAACCTCAGAAGGTGTTTTTATTTTTCAGTTTTGCGACCTGTATAAACTGGATGAGGACTTGGTGATGGGGAGGCGTAAAAAGTAAGACTACAAAAGAAATTAACTTTAAAAGTTTCATCGGTGGAATAAATGCCAAATCGGTAATAGCACTTTCTACGAGTGATAAGTTTAATAACGTTGACCGGTATTCACTGATTTGCGAGACTACTGAATCTGGCCTCGAGATATTTGAGCAAACCAACGATATCAATCCTGAAATTGTCCTACGTAATTTCCTAAAACTATATTTTATAGCGATTCAAATCAATCTTTAGAATAAATATCCTAATTCGAGGTATATACCTGTACAAATACAGTTTTGCGGACAGCTGGAAATGCTGCGCATTTCAGGATACACTAGCGTATGCATAGGAGCAAGCGCAAAGAATGTACAAAGTCGAAAACTCATATCCGCTTCCATAACAGCTGATCAAATTCTTTATATTGCTTAATCTAAAATTTGTAAGGCATAAAAACGTATTTGTTTTTACTAAGCAGGATTCCATGAACAGAAACCCTTAGAAAAGCCAGGAACAGCCATAACACAAATAAGGTGAGGCATTATTTCAACAGCATGTGAACAGCCTCAACAAAACACTGTACTGAAAACAATACGCTAACGTGTCTTGCATTTGCAGGCAGAGCCCCCTTTTGCAAATGTAGGAAAATCGAACTACTCGTTTTCACGTCTGCACGCGACTACTGCCCACTACATCATCGGCTCTTGTTTCTCAGGTTTGTTCTGGGAAATTACTACTACTGCATTTGCTTTCAAGGCAGCATGCACCTTTCTTGTATATTTTCTCATAGGTATTATAACTTTTTTGCGGCAAATTCTTCTTTGCCGAATTTTCGTGGGTTTCCCCACAACAAAAGTGAATGCAAAAAAGCGTTGTGAAAATTGCTGAGCACGGGTGAAAGTTGAGTGAAAATGAAAGTACTAATGTACAAAGGTACAATATTCCGCTAAAATCATGCCTCTTCGTGACATGCCTAGTATCCTCTTGCACTACTCATTTTATGGTATAGTAAAATGCAAATCAATTTTGTCTTGCCAAGACAATTTTACATACTCTTATTCCAATAACTCCCGCGTCAAAGTAAATCGCTTGAGAATTATGTCACTCTACAATCTTTGCCTGATGCACCAACACATTAACGCATTTTTAAGAGACGACAGATACAGCTTTAAAACGAGATAACAATAGATGTTTAGAGTCGCACAACAAGGACGAAATGGTGTAAATCCAGCGAGCGATGTTGACTTCCTGGGTGAATTGGCACCAGGAAGAGGCATACAAGAATGTTTATTCAAATAAGCATTTGCAAGCAGTAACCAGCGGGAGCTCCAATTATAATGTGCTGTGCTCGCAATTGAAAATCAA